ACTCTCAAATAGTTTATGGAACATGTCACATTTGCATAACCTTCAAAATATGGGTTAAAGTAGTGTGGTCAAATGAAACATTTCATAGCTTTGTATTATTTTTATATTGTGTCATATGCAAGTAAATATTTTGAAAATTAATTCTGATACTTTTTCAAAGTTGATAAATTAACAGAAAATTAGTATTTTTATTTAGCTGACATTTCTAAATGTGATGTTCATTAAAATGTAGGTTTATATTTCTTATCTTTGATTTGTATTTGAACATTTGCCTTTATTCAGCAGTGATAGGATTAATTCCTAGCTTATTAGTAACTGGTACTTACTTAAAATCTTGATTTCATAACTTCCTCCCCCCCCCCCCTTCTGGACAGGTTGGTGAAAATTGCCCCTCAATATTATGACATGAGCAATTTCCCACAGTGTGAAGCAAAGAGACAGTTGGACCGCATTATTGCCAAACTTCAATCCAAGGAATATTCACAGTACTGAATTCACTGCTTAGAACTGAAGTTATTCAGAGGACAGCTTTAAAAGATGAATGAAGTCAAGTTCAAGTTGTGCTCTTCATGTTGGTTCAATAATGGCCTTTATTTGAAAGCTTTTTAATTTTTTCTTTACAGTAAATATTCCATTCTGATTTCATAAATTAAACATTTATGCCTCCCTTTTGTGTTGACACTGTAGCTCATACTGGAAAAGTCGATCAATGTTTTGCAGTTTATTGAAAGTAGTTCTATATATAACAATGTTACAAGCATTTCTTTAGAAATGGTTGAAAATGCTTCTAAAATGTGATTATCGACCATGGTATGCATGATCGTTGTAATTGTTGACATTCCTTTTAGAAGTTGTGAAATGTTACAACTTGTGCTTATGTAGACACAATCTTCTGTCTCCGTACAGAGGCACTGACTTCAATAAAGTCTATTTATACTAATCTTGGCCCAAGTCCTTTGGTATCTTTTATTCTAGTCTCTAAGTATAGCAGCTGCTTTTCCCAAGGGTTGCGATTTTTCTTTTCTCATTGTAATCATACTGTTATTACATATTTAGCATTTTTCGAAAGGAGTGCTCCTTAGGTACAGTAGTCATTAAAGCCAGGTTTTAAAGAGCATAATGTAGCGCTTTGTTAGGATAATCAGTATGGGATCTAATGGGATAAAGTGTGTAATAGTTTTTGAAATTGGATCCCCAGAGACAGAATAATGGAAGAATGGCTTTCTCCTCATTCTCCTTAAAGTTCATTTCATAAGGCTGATAATTTATTACCTTGTTAAATGCATTTTTGTCAGATCTTATTGTACTCAGATGAACAGTTTAAGCATTCCAGCCCATAGCACATGTTTATTTGTATTGGATAGGAAGGAACAGTATCATGGATCACCATTAGTTTACTAAATATTGAATTTTGAAAGCTTTTTATAGTGTAATTTGTATAGTGTGTTAAAATAAAAATTTTAACCTTCCTATTAACAGGCAGTAGACAAACTAAAATCCTATTGAAACCAAAATGAGATGCTTGATGTGGCCAGTCAAAGGTACTCCAATAAATTTTTCTACTTGCAGACTATTATTAATACTATTATTATTAAAATTGGATGCCTTTCTCTTTTTGTGTTGTTTTGAGACAGGGTCTCACTATGAAATGAAGTCCTGGCTGGCCTCGAACTCAATGTGTAGACCAGATTGGCCTCAGAAATCACAGTGATTCTCTTGCCTTTGGCTCCTCAGTTTTTTTAAATATGAAAGAGAAATGTATAACTGCCTTCTGTTGTGTGTCAGTTTCAGGTGATTTGATACTTTTTAGTGTGCCTCTTATTAAATAATTTCCAGCAGTTCAGGATATCTAGGAAACCACATCAGATTGATGAGGGGAAGACAAAACTGGCTCATTAGCCTCAACAGTAAGAAACTGACTTATCTGCAAAGAACTACTCGGCAGTCATTTCTTCTTTTACTTTGTCTTAAGAAAACAGAAGCAGAGTGTTAGACACTCTTACCTCCAGCATTTTTAGCAGCACCTACTAGGAGACTATGAACTTGACTCAGATGTACCTAACAACCCTAGGATTCTCAGACTGCTCATACACTTCTTAGAGAAGCTGATTAGACTCCTTTTTTGATTCTGGCTTATGAGCTTGTTCATATTTTTTTTTTTTACTCTTACCCTGGTTCTCGTGCTATGTGGGTTTAGGGACTAATCTCAGATTGTTAGGTTTGTTGGTAAATGTCTGCTTGATAAGCCATCCCACCAGTATGCAATGAATGAAATTTGATCCATATGAATTATAAATGTAAAAGTACAGGCTTGGTAGATACTTGTTGGTTATGTTTTGCATGTAACACTTATTAGAGGAATTGGAAAGGAAATTGCTTTTTCAGATATTTTTTGTTGCTGGTCCCCATAAAACTTGGCTTTTAAGACCCATGAGTACAAAGCTCCATAGGAAGCAATTATACAAGAGTAAGTATTTAGCCTTATCACCAGTAAGACAAACATAATTGTAGGTTATGGAAACTTGAGTTTTGTCCCAGGGCAGTTGAACTCAGCCTAACAAAAGTACTCCTTGCTAGTCTCCTCATTGTTACTTGATATGGTGTGCTTAAACCTGGGTGTTAGGCAGGTGTCCTACGCTTTGTTTTTAAATGACTATGTTTGTTTTTTTCTCTTCTTAAAATTGTTGTAGACTCATTCATAATTAACAGATTGTAGTTGTGGGGTGGGGGTGGAATATTGTGGACTGAATTTAGGGCCTGCTCCACCCCAAAGTTATATACCAGACCTAGAATAGAATAGATTGAACTTTATTAAGAACTTGTTTTCAGACCCGTCTCTCACTTAACCTGGTGAGCCCTCTGATTGACCAGATTGTCTGGTCAGTGAGCTGTGGATATCCATTTGTTGGTCCATCTTCTTTGTCTACCCTATGTGGTTAGGGTTCCAGATGAGTGCCACAGTGCTCTGTTTTGAAGTGGTTTTAAGAATCTAAACTCAGGTCTTTATGCTTGATTGGCAGGTACTTTACTGACTAGTGTAATTCCTTTTGTAAGTGCTCTAAACCATTGCTAGCTCCAGGAGGCGTTGTGGGAAGCTGACTGTAAAAATAAACTGGTATTGTCCAGGACCATCTCAGGTGCAAGGAACATAGTAAGAAACGGATACCCAAGACAGGATCAGTTAAGATAGACAAGTGGGCTGGAGAGATGGCTCAGAGGTTAAGAGCATTTCTAGAGATCCAGACTGAGTTCAATTCCCAGCAGCCACATGATGGCTCATAACTATTTATGATGAGATCTGGTGCCCTCTTCTGGCATGTGGATATATATATATATATATATATATATATATATATGCACTGTATGCATAATCTTAAGAAAAATATTAAAGTCACAGGAGAGTGAAGCCAGTAAGCAGTGGAGTAAATTAAATATTAAGTATGAACCATTGGGGTCAGCTGCCTCTTTTCAGAACTCTCCCTTCTGGAATTTTTAATGTTTTACATTCCTAGATGATTAGTAGCATTCTGGCTAACAGTTTTTAAAGTTTTGCTTTATTGAAGTATAATTTACCACCACAGAAACTGTGCCTCATGTAGTTGGATAAAGTTAGGCAAGTACACAGTAGTAATTATAATACACAGCAGTTTTTCATGGCCCCTCCAAATTACTGTCTTTGTTCCCATTGTTCTCATCCTATTTTTCTGTTTTTAGTTTTGCCTTTTAACGGGATCATAAGTGGAATTATATACTGTTTTTTATCTTGCTTTTTAAGACTAAAATGTATATGTCAGTGTTACTGTTCATTACTTTGTTACATACCAAACTTATATATTTGCTATTTAGAGTTGAGTCTGTATTTGGCTTTCTAATAATATATATTTATGGGTCTTTATATGGACATGGTTTTCAGTTCTCTTGAGTTAAACTTGAGCTTGTTCGATTATACAGTAAGTCAAGTGTAACAGAAAAATTTCAAATGTTACACTATTTTGCTACAGGTTTGTCAAATTTCATAATTATCCATTTTTCTTAAATTTGAGTCGTTGAAAACAAAAAGTAAAACATTTCAGCAAGTGCCCATTGCAGAGCAGACTACTATGGTAAAGGCTGTGAATTAGAAGGGCTTTGGACTTGAATATTTGATTTGTAGCTAGCCATCTAATTTAGGTTTGAGGGAGAGGCAAAAGGAAGGTAAGCCAGTGGGGTCAGATGTAGACTGCTAATGTATATGTATGACCCTCATGAGGTATTTTTAGCCAAATAGTCACTTTAACATCCGAGAGCGAGCTCATATTTTCCTAAACATGTACAAGTTGATGATCTGATCTCTGTGAAGTCCAGCATGTAAGTTGGGGCTTGTGCCTGACCCTATACAGTAACAGGATTTCTCATTTTTCAGTTTGTTAGCATTCCTTACATACTGTCATCAATTATCTGACCTGTTGGGTTTGTAAGGTAAGGGGTTTCTTAAAACCTATAAGCTCTAATTTTGGGTGTGGGTGTTTGGGTGTATTTGGGTGTGTGTGTGTCAGATCCCCTTGGGCTGGCTTTATAGTCAGTTTTGAGCTATCCAAAGATGGTGCTGGGAACCAAACTCGTGTCCTCTGTAAGAACAGTATGGGTTCTTAACTACTGATTGATTTCTGGCTCCTAGTAGGCTTTAAAAGAGCTACATGAGCTTGAGACCAAGAATGTGAACACTTATTTCTGGGGAAAAACCTTTACTGATTCTTTGGAAAACACTCGGTTGAAGTCAGATTTGAGAGCATTAGAACAGAGGCCCAACCTGATAGGCTTGAATAGCCACACACCTTTCTTAGGTCATGGTGACCATAGAAGGGAAGTTGAGAACTCTGACTATAGTGGCCTCTTTTGTCAGGGAAGATGGTGTGTATAAATGTGAATGAGCTATCTAGCCTGGGACCTGAAAACAATGGGAAGGCCACCTCGGGTTAAATGAATTTGGCGAGTTTAATAATACATTCATTGTGTTCAGATTTATGTGGCTTGTACAGTACATTTATTTTCCATATCCCTTGTGCGGTGATGCTTGATTGGGGCCATTCAGGTTAGTATTGGTGATACTGGCTCATGGATTTGTTACCTGCAGGTATAATTGGGTATTTTAAAGGAGAAATTTTGATTTACCCAAATCTGAAAAGAAGAGCATTGTGAATTAAGATACTGCTACATTAGGGGATGACAGACCCCCAGTGAATGGTAGTTTGGTGTTTAATATTAGCTGCATATCAGTTTAAATTGCATAACTGTTGACAAGGCAAGAAACCAGAAAATATCTTAGGTCTTTGGATATCACTGTTGGGGCCTTAACATGGAACCTGATATTTCATCCAGGTGACAGTTGACCAGGGCCTTCAAAACAAAACAACACATTCTCAGAGAGAGACACATTTGTTTTTGTACAATTACTTTTAGAGAATGGGTTAGTTTTTTGTTTAGTTTTTTTAAGCCTCTGTTTCTTAATAGTGAGAATGTGGTTACTTTTAGTATTTTTTTTTTCTTTTTTTTTTTTTTTTTTTTTTTTTTTTTTTTTTTGTTTTTCGAGACAGGGTTTCTCTGTGTAGCTTTGCGCCTTTCCTGGAGCTCACTTGGTAGCCCAGGCTGGCCTCGAACTCACAGAGATCCGCCTGGCTCTGCCTCCCGAGTGCTGGGATTAAAGGCGTGCGCCACCACCGCCCGGCAGTATTTTTTTTTTCAATGTATAATCTGTAAAAAAAAAAATCCACTGAAGATTATTTAGACAAAATAAAATTCTTAAAAGTATATTTTGGTGTTTTATGTTACTTAGTTCGTAGGCTTAATTATATCCTAGTGGAAGTACTTTGAGATCGCTTGACAATTGGTTTTCTCCTTTACTTTTTTACACTCATGAGGAGCTGACTTTGAAGGTGTGCATGAAGACTTAAGTGGGTCACTTGTTCCTTGCAGGGCCTTTCTAGAGGAATTGTATGTTCTTAGTGTACAAAGAGCTGGCTGCTAGAGCGGTGTCCCCAGTGCAGGGGTCAAAGTTTGATGGAGACTGGGGAAGTCTTTGAAACCCAAACTTCCCACAGCGGTCTTAACACAGATGTGAAGGCACATAGGTGTGTCTTGGTAGAGTTCAGGACAGGTTGCACTTGAGCAGCAGGTTTTACCCAGCAGACAAGATTGCAGATTGTAGAGAAAATAGCACAGGGGAAGTAAAGAAAGCAACCAAGTAGTAATGAGTGCTTCCAGGACTGAGATTTCAGATCAGAACTGAGTGTCTCATGGAGCCCCAGGGCAGATGACCTTTTTCCTGATTTTGCAAGAAGTAAGACCATCAGTGCTCAGCCATGCCTGCTCTGCACAGCTTGGTGCTGTTGACCTGGATTATAGAGTACCAGGCTGCTGGCTTCTCGGTTGTGGTACTCACTGTAGTTCTGAAAGATGGCCAAGCTTTGCCCTAACCCCAATGGACCAGGTGGATCTAGTGTTGGGGCAGTTTTATAGGCTTGGCTTTGTAACCTCCCTCAGCTGTTGCCCAATGTGGCAGTTCTTTCTGCTGCTGGGATTATAGGTCTCCCCCCTTGCCCATCTCTCCAGTCTGCTGGGATTAGAGGTCTCACCCTTTGCCCGTCTCCCCAGTCCGCTTGTTTTCCACCCTGGCATATTAGTCACAAGAAGTGAGCATGAAAGAGCAGATCTGGGTCCTTCACTGCAAAGGTTGAATGAAGTAGGGTTTTTCTTGTGAGTTTTAAAATTTTTTATGGGTATGAGTGTTTGGACATGTGCACTATGTGTGGGCCTGGTGCTCTCTAGTTGTGAGCTACCACTTTTGTGCTGGGAACTGAACCCAGGTTCTCTGGAAGAGCAGCCAGTGTTCTAACTGGTAAGTCATCTCCAGTCCCAAGGTGTGTTGTGTAAATCCGGTGGTTGCCTTCCTTATTCTAGTAGTTTGAGTGCAGCCTCGCTTGATGGTGCTGTGTACATTTGCCATACTTACTCTCAAGTTTTTGTCGGTTAGAAACCTTGCATGGTAAACTTACCTTCTGCTTGTTCACAGCAAACTGCCTTGTGTTGAGACTGGAGCCATTCTGGTGATGCATTCATTATCTTTTCCATCTCTGGACATGGAGAGTTGAAATTCAGAGCAGTTTTCCTCAGCTAGCCTGTGAGAGCCATATTTTAAGTATGTCTCTGGTATAACACCAAACCCAGCATGCTGTAATTTTTCCAGCAAATGGTTTTACTTTTTTTTTTTTTTAACTTTTAATGTTTTAGATGAACACATTCAGAAATAAGTTTCATTTTGGATTTTTTTCCCCTCCCAAGACAGGATTTCTTTGTATGTGTAACAGCCCTAGCTGGCCTGGAACTCACCTTTTGCAGACCAGGCTGGCCTCGAAATCAAAGATTCCTGCCTCTGCCTCCCGAGTGCTGGGATCAAAGGTGTGCACCACCACGGCCTGGCTTCATTTTGGCTTTTAAAAAATTATTTTGTGTGTGCATCCATTTCCATGGCATAGTTCTACTGTATAGGTCTTAGAGATCAGATTTAGGTTGTTATCTCTGCTGTAAGAGCTTGTACCCATAGCCATCTAACAGATCCTCATTGCACCATTTTTTTATACATGTATTACTTGTTCTAATTTACTGCTTTCCCTCATGCCCTCCCCCTCCCACCCCACCCCCCGCCATAGATCTATTAAAATGACTTCTTTCTATGGCTGGTTCTCTTTTCCTTTTGTGGGGATGGAACTCTGTCTTCTACATCCACTAAGGTAGAAATTGAACTGTCTGAGCACTGAGGTAGAATGAGGTAATCTGAGAGCTAGAGCATCCCAAATAGACTGAGCTAGGTTTAAATTAGCCCCATGCTCTTTTGGCAGCGAGATGATGGGCTTGTGTGTAGATGTAACCAACCGTCTTATTAAATAAAAACCAATGCAAAGAAGAAAGCCAAGAGATCAGAGCTAAGAGCCATACCCATCTGCTGCAGCTAGCCTCTTCAGCCAAGAGAGACCTACTTCCTGAGTGTTTGTCTTTATATAGACTTTCTGTTCTGCCTTCTCATTGGTTGTAAACCCAACCACATGACCGCCTTGTCACTGCCTGTTTGTACAGACCTCCAGATCTATCGTTGGTATTGAGATTAAAGGCGTGTGTCTCCAATGCTGGCTGTATTTTTGACCACACAGTGCTGGGATTAAAGGCGTGCGCCATGAATGCCCAGCTCTGCTATGGCTTGCTGTTAGCTCTGACCCCCAGACAACTTTATTTATTAACATACAAATAAAATCACATTTCAGTACAAATACAATATCACCATACTTGTGACTTTCTCGATCCATTTCCTCATTGACAGAGGGGAAGGATTGGTTACTGGGAATATCTGACTGACCAATACCTAGAGGTGGGGGAGGGAGGCACCCTGACAGTTTCCCATCCTTCATTGCAGATAGAACTAAATAAGCAGTAGTTATAGAGTGTGAATGAAGCTGCTTAGACTTGGAAACATTTTCCGTGTAATCCCCAACTCTTAGAATTCTTAGTTGAATCTTCTGAAGAGCAGTCACATGTAGAGGTATCATCACATTGTGACTAGGCTTTCAATGGATGTGAGAACCACAAGCCACATGGAGAAGCCACATTATTTTTATTGACTCCTGTGTAGTGTTTATGATAATGCTTGCCATAGAGTTTGTTCCACCGAGACTGACTATCTACAAGTGGCCCAAGTGTTTGTCTACAAAAGGAAATTCAGGGTGTACTGTTAGGTTTGCAGGGTAAGGGACTAGAACTACTGTTCTAACCTTCCTTGTCAGTCACCTGATGGTGTTTGGTTTAGTTTCCTACACATACAAAAGATATGAGCCTTCTGAGATACAGCAATTTTTTGTTTGTTTTTTTGTTTGCTTGTTTTGTTTTTTTTCAATACGGTTTCTCTGTGTTGTTTTGGTGCCTGTCCTGGAGCTTGCTCTGTAGACCAGGCTGGCCTCGAACTCGAGATTTGCCTGGCTCTGCCTCCTGAGTGCTGGGATTAAAGGTGTGTGCCACCACTGCCTGGCCTGAGATACAGCACTTTTATTTTGTAGTATTTCCCACCCCCATTCCAGTCCCCAGTTCCAAAAGGCAAAAGGATTAAATACATAACCCATGTGACAGAAGTGAGGTATTTAGCCTACTGTACTTCCTGTTAGGAAAAAACTCAGCATTTCCCTTTTCTGTCTAATCAGGAAGAAAGGTTTTCACTTTTAATGTAGTAAAATTACATATAATAGAAGTTATCAAGCAGGAGTTACAATAGTCCATATTTGGCAAAATTAAAATAATCTACCCTATATTTGAGTCTAAAGTTTCATATCTAATTTATCTTTTATCATAACCAAGGAAAATTATATCTAGCCTTCAACTACATCAAAGACCCCAAAAGGATATATTACCTAAGTAAACAGGAAGAGCATTGTAAGCAACTTCCAAAAATCTAGAATGACAGAGATAGCTGGCTGCCTGGACAGTCACCCAAAGTTCCTCTGTAATGTTGGGGGGCATCCATCTTCAGCCTCTAGGCCTAGAGTCTCTTAGTCACTTCTCTCTGTGTCCTGTAGAATATCTGACAGTTCCTTCTGTGAGGCAGGAGCCTGAAGGACCATCTTGCCTTGCAAAGTTCAGTGGTCACCTCCCTATGGGTCCTGCATATCCAGTTTATACAACATATTGTCAGTCAGTTGACACAAGGGCACTTTTGCCCAGTGGCTAACTTTTACCACAAAGAAAGCAAACTGAGTTTATTCAGTGCCCATCATTCTCCTTGAAGTAATTGGTGCTGCCAGGAGCAGACATGTCTCATTGTCCAGAAAAGTCTTTTTATACCATTTTAAATGTCATATTCTGTAGGTCTTTGAAGTGTTTGAAGATTAACTACCTAATTGAAATATACCTATATATACCTAGAAAACTTAACTAAAATGACTATAAGTTTGATTATCATAGATGACTAATTATTAATCTATATTTCTTAATTATACATTACAATTTAAATGAGTTACATAAACATACTACTTTAAACAAGAGTAGAAATAAATATACAGTATAACAAAATTTATTTGTATCAATAAACTAAAATCCATAGCAGTGTAAAACATTTTAAACAAGTTCTCTTTATCCTATTATCTATAATATCCCCTTTTCTTCTTTAGGAAGAGATTGCATTTATAATCAACCTCCTTTAAATAAAAATAAACATTTATAAACAATATGTTGGGAATCTGGGTGTAGCTTCTCATACTACTTATTGCTAGATGGGAACACTGGCAATCTTATGGAGATCCTGAGAAAATTAAGAATTATGGTCAAATCCTGACTAGAGTAGTCTTGTGCGGCTGCATTGTCTGAGCCAGTTGCCTTGAAGCTGATCTGGATGTTGCAACATCTGGAGACCTCTCAGGGGGTCTTCCTTGATCAAACCATCTTAGCTTGGAAGTATCCATAGGTTCTCATCTTCTGTGAAAACAAAAGCAGAACCTCTTTTCCAAAGTAATGTGTTCTTAGACATAAATTTTGAAGTCCAGATACCTTTAAAATATACATATTGGTTTAACCTTTACAGTCAAATGTTTTTCTGCAGTTAAAAATCCCAAAGACCACACAATCCAGATTCTCTGTGTAATATTCATCTTTACGTGGCTTAATTTTTATATTACTTTTACTTTCTCTTTAAAGACTTTTTTAAAACCATATAACTAACTATATTTATTTACTTCTCTCTTCCCAGCCTACATACATTTTTACGTACATTGTAAACCATTTAAAGTCTTATTCCATCTGAGTCTGCCTTATTGTGAATCTGTTGCTTCAACCTGCAGTGGCTAGTACTGAAGGAGAAGCCTTGACTGCTGACTCTGCCTACTTCAGCTTTCCAATATGGCGGTGGTATATTTTCCACCAGCTCTGGGAGCCATGTGTACCACCAACTCTTGGAAGCAATGGGTCTGTGCCTCCATCAAAGCAGCATGTAGCCCAGAAACTTTTTTTTCTCCCCCCTCCCTGTGCAGTACACTGAGGGGAAGCAAAATCTTCCACTCAGTGTACTGCACGGCTTGGAGATGCCTCTGTGTAACTTGGCAGGAATCTGCCATGCTGTAGCTCAAGCCTGCGTGTTCTGAACCCGCCATAGTGTAGCTCACGGCTTGCCTGAGCGACACATTTAGGAAGCTGTTTTTAGCTCCGTTTTAGAATCCCTTTTTTTAACTTTCTTACGTTTATATGGATTAGTGCCCAATGGTGAGCACCAAATATAGTCGGAGGTTTCCTGTGTCCTGCTCAGTCCCACTGCCACTGGGACAAGTAAACACACAGAGTCTTATATTACTTACAAACCATATGGCCTAATGGCTCAGGTGTCTTGCTAGCTAGCTCCTATAACTTATCCACTTCTATTAATCTATAAGTTGTACAGGGGCACAGTTTATGGTTCTTTCACATCTTCCTTCTCCTGGCTGCGGCTGGCATCTCCTCTGCCTCTCCTTTTCTCTTCCTTTCTCTCCAGTTGGAATGTACTGCCTTGCCTTATTCTGCTTCAGCATTGGCCAAACAGCTTTATTTATCGATCAGTCAAAGCAACACATTCACAACATACATAAAGACATCCCATAGCATTTCCCCTTTTCTCTCCAGCCAGGTTGGGTACCATTTGTAGTCAGAATGTTTCTTGGGTCCTGCCTGGTCTATGTGGACCTGCAGCCACTTATAAAATCATTCAGAGGCTTAATATTATTTATAACTGCTCGGCCATTAGCTCAAGCTTATTACTGACTAGTAATACATTTAACTCTTACATTTAAATTAACCCATAATTCTTATCTATGTTTAGCCATGTGGCTTGGTACCTTTTCTCAGTTCTGCCTTGTCATCCTGCCTCCTGTGTGTCTGGCAGGCGACTCCTGACTCAGCCCTTCCTCTTCCCAGAATTCTCATCTTCTCGCCCTGCCTATACTTCCTTCCTGGCTACTGGCCAATCAGTATTTTATTAAACCAGTGTACAAAAGCATTATCCCACAGCAAACCAGCTTTTCTGTAGGGAGGGGGTGTAGTGTGTTTTGGTTCTGGCCAGATTTATGTACTTAGTAATTGTGAGTAGTGTCAGCCTTATGCTCATATTACTGACTTATTTCTGACCACTAGTAGTGCTCTGAAAGCTTCTCCTAGCCATTGGATTTCCTGTAGAGCTCTTAGGTCTGTTCGATTTCTTTTTTGTGGTTAACTTTTAACTTAAGCTGTTCATTAGAAAAATTGAAAAGTAAAAGTAAAATGTCATTTCACCACCCCTGTTCTTTTTTCGTCCAAGTAATTATCTGGTTTCTGGCTACAGCATTGCCATCCTGATTTTTTACAGTTGATAGACCAAAGCATTTGTGATAAGCCCTTAGTATTAAGGAAAGTCTAGGCATTTTGGTGGGGGTTAAAGGAAATCGGATGACAGGCTATGAAATGGTGTCATAACTTATCAGTGGGTGGTAAATAGGGTAGTTGCCTTCTGACATCATTTGAGTGAAGGCAGTTTAATTGCCTGGGTTCTCTTCAGATAAGCAAGCCCTTGGGAGCCACAGTCAGATGGGTGAATGCTACAGTTCAAGTATTTTTATTTAAGATTTGGTTTCTTAAGTGATTTTCCCCATAAGTTCCACTTTACATCAAAAGTTGCTTGGAAAATGTCTCACTGTATCCATTTCTGGGGAATTTAAACTTAGAATCGTCAGGCAATCCAGTGACTATACAAGTTGGAGACATGAAAGTACAGTTGATAGTTTTCTCTGATGTGACTCCTCTAACCCTGTTACAACAGTCAGGCAATTCATATCATGAGTTTGGGGGTTAATCTGTTACTTCTTGAAGACTTGTGCTAGTGACTGAGGGTTCAACTTCTAAGCATATGATATTCACACTTCTAGCCTCATTGCTTCTTGTGGCGTAAACAATAAACACCCAACTTGCTAAGCATTTTCTGAGGTACTCAGAGAAAGGCTGCAGCCATTTGGGCTAATTTTTGCATGGTTTGTCAACTCAGATTTTCTACTAGGTTAAAAATCAATTTTGGTTTCACTGGTGTTGAGTTTTAACCTCTGAGTCAACCTTTCTGCTGTTTGAAAAAGGTTTTAACTTCTGCAGTCATGGGGCACAAGACTGGGCGCTCTGACTTTGAAAATGAGACTGTGTGTTTTCTTTTTGTGGACTGGGAGGGTCACATGAGTGAGGAACTCCTGCGATTAGAATAACTATCTTAGAATTGTAGAGCTCAAGAGTTGTTGACTTCTTAAAAGACAAGTCCTAGAGATAAAAGTTGTGTTCAAGGTCATTCAAATTATTTATCTCTTCATTCCAAAGGAGGGCAGGCTCTCTGTACATCTGTACATAGCACATTCCTGTTGCCTTTTTAGTTTTCAATCCTACTTGATCTCCCCAGTTTATCCAAGTTGTTTCTTTTTATTATTATTTTAGATTCTTTATCTTATGTGTATTTTGCTGTCATGTGCATCATGTGCATGCTTGGGTACCTGCAAAGACCGGAATAGGGCATTGTATCCCCTGGAACTGTAGATACAGGGAACCACTGTGTGGGTGCTGAGAATCGAACACAGGTCCTCTACAAGACCAGCAAGTGCTCGTTGCTGATGAGCCATCTCTCTAGCCCCCCAAAATTATTTTTGAGCGAGGTGTGGTTGTGCAAGTCTAATCTCAGCAGAGGCCTGAGTGTCTCTGTGAGTTAAAGATGAGCCTGATCTTCAGAGAGACCCAGTCTCAAAAAAAAGTTACTTTTGAACTGTACAAGTGGCACGAAGGCAAGAGAGCTGTAAAGCAGGGTGCTTTAAAAAGAATATTCTTTCCTCCGTTTTAATGATTTAATTGTGGTGACAGTTGGTAAGCGTAGATTGTTGCTTTCTAAGTCTGTGATTAGCTTCTGATCAAACTGGAACATCTTGGTTCTTGACAACTAGAGACAAAATTTTGCTTGTCTTTAATTTGTAGTCAATAACATAACCATATAGTGATTATGTTAAGGGAGAGTTTGATCCCTGGGAAATAAGTTTCTAGTTTGGTTGTACCCCTTCTATATGAACACTTAATGTGCTATGTGTGCTATATTTAATTACTTACCACTTGCTGTTCATTATAGCCCGGCCAAGACAAGAAACGCTGAAGGTATGTTACCAGCCTGTGATGTCAGTACTCACTTACAGGTCTTAGGAGCACTGGAGGGTTCACAGTGCAGTCAACTTAATCTCTACATCATGCTATGTCCCATGGTTGACCCTCACCAGTACAGATGGATGTCAGTGTTTTAAGCCTGTTCCCCTTGCACCACACTTCCACGCCTTCCCCTCTTCCTCCTGTCCGTCTGTCTGTCTGGCAGATGTCAGAGCATACCAGGTCATGGCCTTACCTGGAAATTTCAGTCACCAGTAAGGTCCACTGTGCAGCTCTAGGTGTTTTGGTGACAGCAGCCTTTCAGGTTGTCTTCTAAGTTGGTGACAGTCACTGGCCATTCCCACTTCATCTTTAAATCAAGAGACAGGATTGAGGTCCCAGCACTCTGCTGTCTAATGAATTATTTGTACAGATTAGGACAGATAAATATGATGTGTTCAGATGAGTGAAAGTTTCGTAAGCTTTTCCTGACATAACTGACGTACTTGGGCAGATTGATTTTCAGTCCTTTGGCAAATCTCACATGAGTTCTGTGGGCATAATTAAGTGGGGTGATAACCTCCTCTTTATTTTCTTTCCTCTGGTGACTGACACCCAGTGGTCAGGCTTTTAGATCAGAAAACCGAAAACAAATTCTCAGCCTCCTGTTTTCAGTCTCAGTTGAAGAAGCGGCTAAAGCATGGGGCCAGGGGCCCGCTTGGGAGTGGTGGGGTGTGCAGCCCAGGACACAGATAGCTGCCAGGCACATTCTCTCCTGTTTGTTATAGAAGACACATCTCATCCAGACCTGGCTCCCTGAGAGAGGTGGTAGAGATAAACACTAGATTTTTTTTTTTTTTTTTTTTTTTTTTTTTTTTCCGAGACAGAGTTTCTCTGTGTTGTTTTAGTACCTGTCCTGGATCTCACTCTGTAGACCAGACTGGCCTCGAACTCACAGAGATCCGCCTGGCTCTGCCTCCCGAGTGCTGGGATTAAAGGCATGTACCACCACTGCCCGTCGAAGAATGTTTTTTTAAATGACCCCATTTCCCTCCAGCTATTCAAAGAACAATTTTTTCCCCTAGAGCTGAGGACCAAACCCAGGGCCTTGCACTTGCTAGGCAAACGCTCTACCACTGAGCTAAATCCCCAACCCTCAAAGAACAGTATTTGAGCTGAGAAATGACATGCATGGCTTTTGTTCAGGTGTGTGCATATAAAGGAAACCCATCAAAAATAATAGGTCCATGGAGGAACCTAGGAGGGACAGGCTTGAAAAGAGCCTGCTTCGGCAGTCTCCTGCCTTGGGCTGGGGGGTTCAAGTAGTGGGCAGAGTTGCTCAGAACTGTTCCATTGGGTTTTCTGGTTGAGTCCATCCATGTTTACTGACACCTAATTCAGTTATGAATTAATTTCTATCTTAGTACTGTGAAGATTATTGTATGACAAATGTGTAAGTTTTCCTCGTGGTAGACTTCGCTCTTCTCCAGGTATTTCTGGTTTAAAAAAACTACTTCCAACTAAGCAGACTGACCTGAGTCTTACCTAGAGGGAAGCCTAAAAGGACAATCCAGGTGCTGTTCATCAACGTTGCTCCGCCCCTCACCCCTCCTGCCTCTATGGCAGTGTTGCAGAACAAGGCACCGGAGACCAACCCAAGATGGAGGTGAGCATCACATGGACTGAGCTGGTGGGAACCATGGAGACCTGAGAGCTGTTGTTGTTATCTTGTAACTTAGCAGGCTCTGAGGGCTGCATTGTCCACAGAGGTCTTACCAGATAGACAGTCGGAGAGGTGTATGGTGAGGGCAGAGCTGCCCATTGTGAGCTTTTTGTTTGGTTTTGGTTTTTTGAGACAGGGTCTCTCCATAGCCCGGGCTATTCTGGAACTTAGTATGTAGACCAGGCTGGCCTTAAACTCAAGAGATCCACCTGTCTCTGCTTCTGAAGTGCTGTGGTTTTCGTACAGGGTGAAAGATAACTTCCTAATTTTGTTCGTTGGCAGGTGGATAGCCGATTTTGTCAGCTCCGTTGTTGACGAGGCTGACATTTTTCTGCTTGTACTTTTGTTGTCTTTGTCAGGAGTCAGATGGCCATACATAGCTTTGTTGGTTCTGCTTCTGGGCCTATCCCATAGACCTGTTTTCATGTCAGTACCAGGCTGTTTTCATTACTATAGCTCTGCAGTATATATATATATTTGAGGTCAGGTATTGTGATGCCTCCATTGCGGAGAGCAGCATTCCAAACTGTTAGGGAATATCATTTATTATGTATTATGAACCCTCCATTTATTATTTAGCTGTATGTACCTGGGTGAATTTCTGTGTATGAGTGGGATGTTAAAGATTTGCTAGTGTTTTGGGAACTACTTCACAGTGTGGTTCAAACTGGTTCTCACTCTCAGGAGTTTGTGGCCAAAGCTTGGTGTGCCGAAAAGAACACACAGTTGAGAAGCGTGGTGTGGAGTTTGGGGTTTGGATTCAAATTATGGCTCCACTGGGGAGATCACTGGACCTCTTAGATTTGTACTTTGTTGACTGTGTATGTAGCTCCCTCATGCTTGTATTAATCAAGAAAGTACTGAGCAGCATAGCTCCTAGCCCCATCAAGCGGTGGTGAACTTCTGTGGCCTGTTCTAAATGAGTGGGACACTCATACCATAGTTAGAGCAGCAAAGCATGCCTCTAATTTTGCTGGCTTGCCCTTGTTCTCTCTCCTGTTTTTAGCGCAGTGCTTGGGGATCAAACGTGGGGCTTTGAACATGCTAGGAAAGCAGTCTGCCCTTATCTATGTCCTGGGCCGATGTCTCTGAGTGACCCAGGCCCAGCAATGAGGAGGTTTGATCTAGATGGCTTGCCTGGGTTCTTATGTCCACACTGGGATCTTTCTGTTTCTCTAATCCAGATTTCCCAGTCTTCTTTCTAAAATAGCCCTTCTTTAAATTTCACCTTCCAAGTGACACCAGGGCTTCTCATTAGCTAATAGGAAAGATCTGGGCCACCTTGGTGGGAGCGTGAACTAGCATGGAGTTGCCCGAGAGCCTGCACAGCCCAGGCTCCAGCTGCTTCCAGTCTGCATTTTCCTACTAAGTGGCTGCTACATGGTTCCACTCAGCTGAGGAAGGGGCTTCTCCACTCTACTGGAGTCAGAGTGCCAGTCTTGGGAAGATGGGCATCAGACAGCAGCGTTGAGCACAGCCCATGGCTCCACATGCCCAGGTGAAGTTGGTTCACATATGAGAGTCTGTTTGCACATCTCAAGGTCCTTTTGCATATCTGGTCAATGATGATGCTACCCACCCTTTATGGTAAGGATGAATATACTGATTGGTTGTTGCCCGGTTGTATGACCCAAGGGATACCTTAACATTAGTCATAGATGGGGTAGTAATAATAGCATTCATGTGCAAGGCTTGTGTTCTGACTTAGAAGCATTTACATCTGAAATATCAAGCATGTGTTTGGTGAAAGTTGGCACCTCAATGACGGTAGCTACTGTCAAGCCTTGTAGGACATCATTGGCTTCCCACCCATCTGAGGTGGCACTCCACTCAGACTGCTCCCTGTCCTGAGAGCTGACAGACAGAAGCCACAAAGCTAGGTCTGTACCACAGAGCCCTTCATGAAAAACCCAGTTCCATATCTACTGGTGTTCTATGGCCTTTCCAGGTTTGCCCCAGCATGTTTGGTCTGCAGCTTGCCTTCTGGTGTCTGTCTTAGCCTGGCAAGTGTGGACTGAGCACATCTGGGTTGTGGGAGGGTACCTTCCTACTGTGTTACCCCAAGAGTAGCCTCTGGCCATGGGAACAGTGTCCACTTCCCACGACACTTGGAGGTGTGTTACCGCTGATGTGGGTCTCACCTTGTTTTCCAGCAGGGAAGACAGGAATGTTTAGGCTCGTCAGTATTGAAGACTCAGCTTCAAGTTTCTTCTGTTTCTGTCGGGGTGGACGGGTGCATGTGGAAATCAGCAACTGGAGTTGTAGGAGTCAGTTCTCTCCACCGTGTGGGTACCCAGCATAGAAACTGGGTAGTCGGCCTTGGCGACAAGGGCTCTTAGCTGCTGAGCTGTGCCCCAGCTCCTCTAGTTCCTTTGAAACCCAGGTACTGAAGCTTGTGTGAATCAGACATATGACATCATCTGTCCAAATGAAGTTCTCCTGACAGTACCTAAGGAACGAGCTGTGTACAGTGAGACTGGATCAGGCTAAGGCTGGATTTGACCTGAGTGAGAGGTGTAGGTGTGTTGGTCTCCGCTCCCAGATAACTATCCTGTGCTTCACAGGATGTCTCTGTGCCATTCCCAGTGGGTATTTTGTTTTGTGGAGCTGTAGTTTGACTTCACATTTTACCTCTCCCCTCTCAACCCCATGCTCCAAGTGTTGCAGTGGGTATGTCCCATCTGTTGCTTCACACCACCCCATGCTGGGCGAAGCTACAGCTCCCACCTCCACGGCCTCTCCCAGGCACACACAAACCATCATCTTCAGCTGCCTCCGTTCCCCATGCTGCCGCTGTGGGCACCTGGCCCCGGGAGAGCCGAGTGGCTTGCTCAAGCAACTGCATGCAGTGCTAGTCTTCCCCGTGGTCCTCCGTGCACACTGCCGCCTCCGTTGTTGCCCGCAGTCGATCTTTGTTTCCTCCCTTTCCCCGAGTTGACAGCTTGCTCTTTGCATTTCCATCCCTCTGCTAGTGCACAGGTCCTCACGTGAACAGAGGACTCTACTTTTCTAGTGGAAAAGCCCCGCTCCTCCCATAAGGTTCAGATTTTCATTTCAGACCCGAACGGAGGGACTGGTATTATGTAGTGAAGTCCCATGCTTCCACCCCCCTGTACCAACTGTTAACATTCTGCCCCCTTTGTTACAGCTCTTGCCTTGTAGCTTTTAAGTTGACACAGGAATGTTTTAAAAGCCACTTTGAGACCACATGCCCTGACATTAAGATTCCCTTTGCAGCTTTGCTTTATGGTGATGCTTTTCAAAGCAGCAGGTAGGCCATTAACCCAAAACACTCAGTAGTCCCACATCCAGATAGGAGGAATGGTTTGCTTATGGAGTCCGTTTGTCCCTTTCCTCTGGGCTTCTCCTCTCTGAGTATACCTGTAGCTTTCCCACCTGTGAGAGTGTCACCTGTGTGACTGCCTTGCACACGTTCACTCTTTCCCTCCTCTCCTTCTCCCTTTCCTCCCTCCCTCCCTCTCCCTCTCCCTTTCCCACCCCCCTCTCTGCTTTCCTGACTACCCTCCCCACAGTTTCACCTGCCAGTCATCTGATAAATAAGCCCTTCTCTGGTCTCCCTAACCAGATCAGTAGGGCCTTGTAACAAGCCTTTTTCTATCCCGCCAGCCAGCTCTCAAATAACAACATGGAGACTTTTTATTAATTATGAAAATTAGGCCTTAGTTTAGGCTTATCCCACTAGCTCTTATAACTTAAATTAACTTGTTTCTATTAATCTATT